AAATTTAACAAACCCAAAAATTACAAAAACAAAACTAAATAGTAAATTCGCTGTTTGACAATGTTAAAGCAAAGATATAGAAATATATATATATATATATACATAACAAAAAAAACACACACATAGAAAGCATACATAAATAGTTTTTGCATGCTTAGAATGCCTCAACACAAAAGCGACGTAATTAATTTTCGGAAAATTTTCATCGCACTAACACTCTCTCTCAGAGTAGTTCACGTGTGTGAGAAAAAATGATATATGGAAGTTACCCAGCAAACATTTTTTTATTCCTCTTAACAATTTTAATTACATTTTCTCATAACTCAGCGAGTGAAAAGGGTTTATTGTAAGGAATGTTCTCAACAATCAAATTTTTCAACTCAGTCTAAAAGATATAGAGATGCTCTACATTGATTACTTACAAAATTTAGAGGGTTCTCGAATAGCAAAGAAACAAAGAAATATACGAACTATAAACTAATTAAAAATTCGATTATTTCCTATGACTACTGATGATGAGTACTTGGCAATACTCGAAACAGCGTTGTATGGTCAGCCAAATTTCAATAAAATTAAATAAATATTTGTGTTTGTTCTGTCTTGCTTTTCGAAAACCCTCTAAATTTGAATATATCTTCTTTGTCACCATATAAAGAAAGCGTAGCTTTTTCAGCAATTCAAATACTTACAAAATATTATTTAATATATAATCTTACTGGGTTTTACTACACCAACTACATGTATTCTGAGTCATGGAGTTTCTGATATAAATGTTAAAAAATTTTCTCAGACGAACAAGCTCCGATCAACTCAATCAGAGACTTGCATTGCTTTTATTAATTCGAAAGCTGTAGACTTCTCTCGATGAGTTATAAAAACATCGATAAGCTACAATTATGTCTCTGGCAAGTGCAACAGAGTCCATAGTTTTTTCACATGATTGCATGCCGTTAAGGCTTAACACGTCGGCTCTTTTAATGTGCGTATCAGTATAATGTAATGATAAGCACCACGGAATATCATCAGCACCAATTAAAGCTTTACGTTTGGTTATAGTTTTCTTCTTTGCAGGAAGCGGGTCACACCTAACACCTCTGCTGATACAGAACCCGATTTTAAACTGTAACACCTAATGAAATGAATAAAATAAGAGCAATCATTTTAAAGTCGTAACTTGGAGTTTATTCACAGTCACGACTGGTTGTCTCATTAAAGGGGACAACCTTGAATAGCTAAAGCTGTTGGTCCTAACAGGGCATATTAATTTACATCTCTGGTCAGGTGCTTCTAATAAAACTCATTAACTGTCATTTATGCACCAAACAGTATCAGGTGGTGCCCACAGAATTAAGGTTATCTCTGGCTCCCTTTCCCTCAGAGTACGATAAATTCTACAGCTATTTCTTTAATAGTTCGAGTATGGCTGACATTAAACCAAATATCTGTTAATGTGATGTGACGTTGCAATTTTCTCGGATAGCTATGATGCTATCAAATATTTGGTAAGAAGTTCAGCTTTATCAATAATTCTCTAAAAATGTTGCGATTCTTTTTAAGAGTTACCTTGGTGTGTCTGTATCCAATTTGTGTGAATAATCTTCATACAGTTAACGCCTGCACTCGATATTCATTTTTTTTTGAAATGAAACTTACAAAAACTAAAATGCAAATTAAATAAAAGTACCTGGCTATAAAAAGATAGTCTTAATAAATTTTATTTTTAATTTATTTTGACACTGGTAGATTATATTTTGATAGAAGAGACCTCTCTGAACAAAACACGTGGACTGAACACAAGAAATTCCCAGCCGGTAATCCGGTAATCATTTTTCTGGTATTGATACTTACGATGACTAAACTGAAAATTGAAAAAGGCTATCTGGCTGTAGAAAGAAAGCATTGGTAGACAAAGTCTCTCCAATCAAAACATTTACTTGCATCAAATTGGAAAGGAATGCACCCGTTGGCTGTTGTATTATAGCGCGACCAATTTAGTTTCAAGATAGCGGTGCTGACACGTCACAACGTATGCAAATACAATATAATATGACTATGTTGACTTTTTTCTTCGTTATTGTGGTCCTCATGCAGAGAAGAAGAAAATTATGCACCACTTTATAAGCTAGTGCCCATCTATTAAAAGTTGAAAATAAAAGTATATTCTTGCCAAATCAATTGAATTTTTATCCTTAGAGACATAAATTAATCATTTCGTACTAGGAAGGCATCTAATACAACCTTAACACGACTATATTGATTGTGGCTCTACAGAGGAGATTTTTCATCTTTAAGAAACTATACTTCACCTTATAAGAGGCTAATATAATAAATTGAATCACTTTACTATTTTTAACTATAAAAATTGATTTGACCCAGACATATGCCTTAGTAAATAATGTGTAGTTTTGGAAGTAATATTATCATTGATTATCATGACTGTGAAATGTTTGCAGGGACGATCTATTGCAAATTTTGGTTGTCTAGAAGTTATTTCGGTTTGTATGGATATGGACCATTCATGTGTGCCTGTGCGACTTTTTGCTCATTCATAAAGTGACTTTTATAGTAGAAATATTTTTTATTTCGAATTTTGACACTTTTAGTAATTGCGCTGACAGGAACAGGAATTCCAAAATAGGAACACTTTCCGAAACAAAAGGTAAACTTTTGTAAATTGAATTGCTTTACCAGTAACTAGAAAAGTTCACAAATGTATGTTGTATTGAATAATTTTCATATCCTTAAAGCGAAGAAAGTCTCTGCAAAATTATGCAAAAATATTTCAGTCTCTGAGTTTATTCCTTGTCTAAAACTTAATGAGATATTTTATGAGGTATTTTCTTTAGTTTCATTGAATTAACATGGCTTTCATTTATACCTGGCTACCTAGAAACTATTTCATTAATTTGTGGTTGTGCTTTGATCTGAATGAACTTTGAACTTTTTGCACTACACGTGCAAAACAACTCTAGATATTTTCACTCTTAAACACAAATCCACATGAAAACATTTGACTTCAGTTTAGTTGCTTTTAATCCTCAACCACTTAAGACTTAAATGCAAATACAAGACCACAAAATAAACCAGTAAATCAAAATAGGAAAACAGAAAAAAAAATGTTTTAACAAAAGAAAAAAAAAAGAAAAATTCCGAAAGTCATTTATTAAAAAGTATCTCAGTTTGCCATATAAATGCGTATCTATAATTCCATGCCTTCTTCTGCTCCTTCAACGGCTTTGGCTACAGTTTATTTGCACAACGCAAAAAAATGTGACAAAATTTTTGACATTTCTGATGGATTGACAAATGGGTAAGTGGTGCCGAGTACAAGAAAAAAATGAATAAATAAAAGGAAATGAGTATCAACAAGGATATTGTGTAAATTTACTAAGGATACGAAAACTCAAAGGCAACAACAAAACAAATAAGACAAGTGAAAAATTTGAAACCCATGTCAAATTGTCAGTTAACAACAAAATAAGGTTAGAATGATATTTTATAAATGAATCCAAGTTAACTAAGTAACAAAATGTGAAACTAGATAAATACTTGTCTAAGAGAAATATATAAATACTATAGTTGTAAGAATTTGAAATACTTCATTTTAATCTCAAATTTTTTTCTACTATGTTTGTTTATATTTTTTTCTTATATCTGGTATTTTTCAGAATAATTTCTTTACTTTAACTTCGAGTTTATTTGTCTCATTTATATCAGTCTTTTTTAAAGTGTGATTATAACAAAAAGGAAATGACTTAAGTCCATTATTCAGTTTTAATGAAAGAGGTCATGAATGCTTAATAAATGGATAGTAAATAACCGTTTCTGGATGATTGCTTCCTTCAAACAATTCAATTGTTTAGACGGATAGCATAGTCTCGACTTGAGTTTCACCGCAGGGGAGCAGTTCGTAGTAGATAATTCCCTACCAATCCCATCAAACACACAGTAAAATCTCCCTGGTCGGTAAGTCCTTATTTGACCATCATTATAGCTGGCTAACCGGGATTCGAACACAACTGTTTTCGTTTGATATTGTCGTAAGTAGTCCAGTCAGCACTTTTCATCACTAGTTACCAACCCCTTCAGAAATGAGTTGATTTCTTTGCGATTCAGCAACGATTCACCGAAGAAAAGTCGGTCTATGTTTTTAGCGTTAATTCGTGTGGTACGCATCATTCATCTTCTTTTTTATCCAGATCATTGAAATAGTTTCAAAAGGTTTTTTGTGCAATCTTTAGCTCTTAAGCAAACGAAATACTGCTTACATGATAGTCTTTGACATCGAAATTATCGGAACGGAATTTATGAAACCAAAATCGTGAATGATTGGTTGTGACAGTAACAGGACTGTGAACAGTATTTACATTTTCAGATGCCTAGTTTGCATCAAAACTCTCTGTACATATATTGGGTACACATTTGGTCCTTGGATGTTTGGAATAGCATTTTAACTCTTTAAACAGATATATCAAATAAATTAAATGATTTAAATAAATATGAAACAATGTATTTAATACTATGTGCATAACCTGTCGAATTACATCTTTAAAGAGATCATTTTATTATTAGCTATTGTAGAAGATATTGCCCAAAATACTTTTGTTTATAACATGTCATTTAGTAAAATAGTTAAGATCCGTTTTCCAAAGGGTTTTAAGCACAATTTATCTTACAAACTGAAAAACTTTTTTAAATTGAGATCAACCTATCAAACTTATCAAATATCGCGATTAACCTAATATTGTGATAACATGTAACAAAATAATGTAATAATGAATCGCCTGCTTCCAAAGGTGACCGGATCTACATCCAGAATCCATACGTCCGCTATCACGACTATTCGTTGTCCATTACGCCCAACATGTGCTATATAAGCAAATCTGTCTAATTAATAAAGTCTTTGTAGTTGCATGGGTTTAGTTTAAATTAATATGGGATTAGTAACATAACGTAACCTCGTTATTAAAACCCAATACCAATTTCTATAAAGGTGTTATTTATTGTAAGTTTAAGGGTATATAAAAATATATTTTGCGAAATTTGTACATAATGGATTAATAAATATTTATATTATGCTACTTCAGCTCTTTATCTTGATTCCTGTGAAAGTTGTATAGTCAATCTTCTGTTTGGATCTGCCAGCAATTTTTCAATACAGAAAGGCCTTAAAAAAGTACATATTTTTATAATATTCGATACTGTTTTGTTGACAGGTATATATGTATATATATGTTTATAGATTCATATATACTTAATGTTAGGTATTATAATATAAAGCCAATCTGGCAACATCTTATATTGAATTATGTAGCATTATTTTGCTATGTATGTAAAATAATAGAATATGTATAAATGAATAAATTAGTAAACTCACTCTCGATCTGACTACCGAATGAATAATACATTACACTTAATAAAAAATTACTAAACATTTGCATACCAATTGTCTACACATTATTATCATATGTATTATTGCTGAATAATTTTCAATGTGTAGTTCCATTATTGTTGAGATATAGTAATGCGGAGATAATTACGTTATGTTTTAATCCATATTGATCCTAAATTAAAAATATTCTTTAATTAAACTTATCCAATATCCATTGTCATATATAATATCCATTTTATCATATATGATCTTACCGGAGGTTAGGTTATATTCTGTATGTACGCAAATGAAAGCTGTAAATACAAGCATTAATTAAAAAAATAATATAAACTAGGTGTGCCATTTATAACTCTTGGTCATAATATACCTTAAACGGTGCTTTCATTATGAGAGCTATCAACAGTTGTCTCGACGTTCAGTGGAGTAAGTATTTTTGGTTTTTCTTTTGTCGCCTCTTCTTCATATGCTTTAAGTTCCAAATAATACTGCCTCATTCTTATGGCATTTTCATCAACATAATTTAATATGGCTTTCCTAATCTCTATGCCCACATCACCTGACAGATTGTTAATCGACTCGATTGATTTTTGGCATACATTTTGAAACCTTACTTCTATCTCCTCTGCAGTACTGAATTAAATGCAAGTGATATAAATTCAATAAAGATTATTTTATGAAAGTGGATTATAAATAGTGAAATTTAATAATAAGAATATTTCAATGGAAGCTGATAAGTAAGGTCTGAATCTTTAAGCTGCTTATGATCTTAGCCAGCAATATATAAACATCAAAATAGTTAGTTTTATCGGAAATCATTTTATACAATCACTTTTAGTTCTTTTATTTTCTTTATACTTCAAACATTTGGCAATGTGTTCAAGGTTTTGAAACTGAAAATATACATTTTGATAAAATCTTTGTTAGAAACTTACAGATCTTTGATGTCACGTCCAGTGCATTCTTCTTCTGTTATGATATCAGGATGATCATCACAACAAAGTATTGTTTCGTGAGCTTTGCGATTTTGTGGCTTGCTTGGGTATAGATTTACTTGTGATTGGTTTCTGAAAAAATTTAATAAATAAGCTAAACTTACCATAGGTTTCAATGATGTAGATAATAAGAACAATAATAATGATGATGATAATAAATTGTTTATTGAAAAACATGTCCTATTATTATGCATTTTAATTTGAGAATTGTTGAAAATCAAACTTTACGAAGTACTTTTATTGTGGATGTACGGTAACAATACATTCACCTTCTGCGATTAAGATTCAAGTCCTTTTTAGGCTTTATGCAACGACGTGTAACAAAAACCAATATTTTGATGTTTCAGTCGAACATTTCGCTCATATCTGTCACAGAACTCGGTTGTTGACACAAAACTCCACAAATATGTGCTGGGTTCATTATTTGAGCTTTTGCCTCGAATTCTCTAAGAATAGATTCGTTCCAGAAATTAATTAGAAATTTCTTTATTTGGCTCTACTAAAAGCGAAATATTTGAAGAAAATTCGAAGAATATTTAAAGAATATTTAAAGAATATTCAAAGAACATTTAAAGAACATTTAAAGAATATTTAAAGAATATTTAAAGAATATTCAAAGAATAAGCAAACAATATTTAAACGATATTACACTTGGAACAGTTTTATTTGAACTAAAGAAATCGATCAAAATTTTGTTGATTTTGCTTTACTGAAAGAGTATTATTCAATCTTATGATTCTTTTGGTGACTTTCGAACCGCACTCTGATAGTATTTTGTTCAACTAGCATACACTCTGTAAAAAATCTTGCTCAACTGGTGACCACACCGAATATCCAATATCAGTTTTAAGGTTTGGACGGGTCAAACTAGAACAACAGAGGAAATTTAAAAAGGCAAATGAGGCTAAATAGGACACAGCCGAAGAACACTTAATAGCAATATCCCTCTACAGCCACTGAAGTTAAGTCTACTAAGTTTATAGCATCTTGGTGCGTGAGTAATGCTTTGGATGGCAACAAAGGAAAGCTATTTAATGGATTCAAATTAATCATCTGGCAGAGTTTTTCTTCATAAGCTTCGTGATTATTCAATGACTGATCTAAGATCTGCGTACTGTCCCGTCCGGTAAATAATTAATCTGAGATTAGATAGTAGTAAGTAGTGCAGCCTGTCAGTTCTCACATATAGCTTCAGGACTCTGTCCCTTATGTATTTTTTGACCGGATTTATTCTAAGGTCTCTTAGCATGTCATTCGTGCGGATGTACCATGGCACTTTGAAGAGTCTTCAGAGAGCCTGACTTTGAGCAATTTGCAGCTTTTGGATAGTAGAGTCGATAGCTCTGCTATACGCGACACACCCATAAAGTAGTGTTGGTCTAATTATAGTTAATATTTCCAATTAAAAATTTGTCATTTTTGAACACAATCTTCTAAGTACATTTCTTGATTTAAGCACAATTTGTGCTGTTTACACTGATGCTTAAGTCGGTAAGAAATATTATCGTGAAATATACGATATAAATGCTTAATTTATTAAATCCTATATTATAACTTTAAATAGTGAGTCTTTAATTATTGTATTTATTTTACAAAAGGTAAAATTTTGTTTGAATTTTAAATGAAATTTCAGTGCACGCGTCAAGATAAATACGCGCCTCAATGTGTTAGCGCAAGTGTTGTGTAAATATTTAATTTTATTTGTGTTGGTCTAATTATAGTTAATATTTCCAATTAAAAATTTGTCATTTTTGAACACAATCTTCTAAGTACATTTCTTGATTTAAGCACAATTTGTGCTGTTTACACTGATGCTTAAGTCGGTAAGAAATATTATCGTGAAATATACGATATAAATGCTTAATTTATTAAATCCTATATTATAACTTTAAATAGTGAGTCTTTAATTATTGTATTTATTTTACAAAAGGTAAAATTTTGTTTGAATTTTAAATGAAATTTCAGTGCACGCGTCAAGATAAATACGCGCCTCAATGTGTTAGCGCAAGTGTTGTGTAAATATTTAATTTTATTTGTGTTAATAAGGCGCGAATTTGGGAATTGCTTAATTGCGTACATTTTGAAGCCATAATGAGCAATTAAATTGGAGGGTAAAATTTATATTTTTCCAAAAAAATTCAATTAAAATTCAAGATTGCTGCCCTGCAACAAACAGAATTCACCTGAAATTTACCTTTCTAATTCGTTCGCTGAGAAGCCGTTCATTTGTAATTTTAATAACTGCTCGACGGAAATGAACAAACTTTACGGCTTGTTGCTGGCCAATTAAAGCGGCTATTAAAAGGGCACGTTCCCCACCGAAGTTCAAATATCGCTGCAGATACAAATTTGTACTGTAAAATATGCGAACAGTCAATTTACTGCTGCATTAATAGCGCCCAACTGCTCCGGCGGAGGATGCGGGAGAATTTGGCACCAAGCACCAATCGATTTACATGAGCAAGCAAAATGGTTTCATTTACGTATATATCTGTAGGCTGAGAAGGCACGACAGCCTTATTTTTTGTCTATTCACGATGACATTTTACTATATACGAAAAATTTCGTATTAATAAATTTTCCTAATCTTATATTGCTATTGTTGTTGTTGTTATTCTTGTCTTCTAGAGTTTTGTGCCCACGAAAGTAATAACAGAGAAGTGGTACTCCACATAATATGTAGTCCTCTAACTACATCAATGGCAGAGCATTAATTCCATTCTACAAATGCCTTAAATGTAATGTCAATATATTTTGTACCACACAATTCGGGGCATAATTAAGACGCGATTACATTGCAAAATTAAGTTAATCGAAAAAGAAATCCATTCTATTTATTACTTTAAGGCTCTGGGTGTCGTAAATATGGTATTTCGTTTGTGTGTCGGCTTAAGTCATGGCAAATGACTGCCTTGGGCTGGAGAAGGAGACGGCTCTAATTCGAATTAATATACCCAGGAGTGTTTTGGTGGAAAATTGTTGTTTTCAATCTAAACATTTATTCGTTTTTACATGAAAACGTGATCTGCGCCTAATTAAAAATTCAATAAAAAACTTTTTCCTTTAAGTGTTTTAAATTATATTGAGTTTTATGTAATTTTGTTGAGGGTGGATAGCACATAATCTGAACTCATTCAAATTTCAATTTGGTACGTGTTTTAATACTTTTTCATATCCAAAAATTAAACATTTTACAGACATAAATTGCTAAAGTGATTAGTGTTATATGTAAATTAATGGAATTAATTTTATAGAAAATAAAAGTGCTATATAACATATAAAATTTAGTCGATTCTTTTTTTATAACCGATTGCGTTTTTGCAGAGCATCCTTAAGATGGTTACCTAATAAATCAATTAGTCACCAACTTTATTACAGTTGGTAGAGAAACATTGATATTAGAAGAAACGAACAAACACATATTTATTTATTTATTAAATAATAGGCTATGAATGCACCTGACCTAAAAGATCTCTTGTGCGCCTAATTTACCTATTACCTAATTAATTAGAGACTAAGATTCCGCTTACAAAGTAGTCAAATCTGCATGTTGCCGACGCTGGGCAGTTGCATAGAATATGTTCTGATTTTTCCTTCTTCTTATGACAGAGACGACAGGAATCACTCTATACCGCACCTATAAACAAATACATGATATGGACAAAAGAAACTGCTTAGTGACTCCTTAGAAGAGGCTGTTACCACAATACACACCACATTGTCTTAAATGTATAGGAACAAAGTTGAAGTCACCATTGCAGTAGTGAATTTGGTAAGAACTATAGCATTTAGACTGTAAGATAAGTTGAAATCACTTTCTATCGCACGTATAAGCAAAGACATAAGATGGACAGAAGAGCCTAAAAAATATGATAGCTAAAGAATTGGCTCAGCAAAGCACAATATTGCTCCTTCTAACCACTGTAGAGGTAGCAATCATGTTAGCCCATATTCCAAGCAGATAAGTCACTCAAAAGAAGATTCATCCCTTATTCCTTGCAAGAAGGGTTCGGTTAGAAGATATAATGGCAAAATTTTTTATTTTTATTTTTTTAGAAATTCACTTACAATTTATTGTTCCTAACAACAGATTTCGTTGATGTGGATGGTGATTCATTATCTATCTTTTCAAATGTGCAGGAGTTACCATAATGACTAATAGAAGAGAACCACAAATTATTGTACTTGCTATTTGTTTCTCTATAACTACAGACGAAGTGACTTCAACGACTGAAAACCGTGTATTGACTGCTCTAGAATGTTTAATACGAAGGCAAGTTGATTGAAGCCGCTCAATGTCAATAATATACAAAACTGTAACAGAAACAATGGTTAATATAGTTAGCTCTCACCGACAACTTAAAGTATATCAAAATTGACAATAGTTGTGACATTACGAATGGAGATATTAATAAGGAAGAAGTAGTCCTTGGAGCAGAACCGAAAAGAACAACTCCTTTTATGTAGGTATTAATGTATTGAAGTGCAATTCATATATTTCGGCAGTCATTATCAAGAATCAACATATACCTTGCATTATCTTGATAAATGAGTACTTTTAAAGGTTTCATTTTGGTTAATTTTTTTATTTAGTATCAGTCTTCAAACCAACAGCGCGTATTTTTATAAACCCCTTAAGGATTTTGCCTCGAAAAATGATTTTTAAGAATTATAATACATATATGTACATGAAATTTAAATTACTAATAGCTACGTGGTTAAAAAATATGATAGCTAAAGAATAGTCTCAGCAAAGCACAATATTGCTCCTTCTAACCACTGTAGAGGTAACAATCATGTTAGCCCATATTCCAAGCAGGCAAGTCACTCAGAAGAAGATATATCCCTTATTCCTTGCAAGAAGGGTTCGGTTAAAAGATATAATGGCAAAATTTTATATTTTTATTTTTTTAGAAATTCACTTACAATTTATTGTTCCTAACAACAGATTTCGTTGATGTGGATGGTGGTTCATTATCTATCTTTTCAACCGGTTGATTAAATTGAAATGCTTTACTTAAAGATAAACCCATTTTGATTTATTGTTTATGTAAAATATGTACGATGTTGACAATTTTGTGGGCTTCAAAGTTTTATTCTATTAATTTAGAGGAATACACATTATAGATTACATTATTTCTTGAAAAATATATATAAGAATACTATTAATTTTCTTATAATTTTGTTATAAAAAAAGTTGACAGTTTAATATTTCAAAGATATACTGTATTAATATCAAATTTCTGTGTACTGAAAATGAATATCATATCATATATTTGCTAATGGCTGTGTTATACACTCTTTGACCTTAATCGTCAAAGACCGTTTTTGACCGTTTAATATAAACAAAAAAAAAATATCAAAATTATATTAATAGATCATCTTTTTCAAGCAAAATCATTTTTCCCTCAAATAATCAGAACTTTTAAATAATTATGAACAAATTCATAGAAACAACTTAACTAACGAAGTAATATATCTTTAGATTACATATATTGCCAAGAAGGTGGATCTATCAACTAATACGGCACCATATATTTTACATTAACGTAGAATATCACTACATTTTTAAATAAAACTTACAAATTCATCATGCACTGCTTTAAAAATTTATTTAAAAAATCTTTACTTATTTAGTTGAAACCTGGTTTGTTATCAAAGAGAGACATCCCTTCCGATACTGCTGGAACTGGTGGTGGTGCTTGTCATTTTCTATAGCATTATAAGTTTATTGAAGTACCAAATTTAGATATTGAAGAGTATTTTTAGTAGTAGGTGCTAAAGCGTCTTTGAAACCAAAAAATGAATGGTATATATCGAGTTCTTTGTCTTGGGTCGTCTCTAGTATTTGACGCCTAGACTCTAGCTAATCTAGGATGAATTTGTCGGATCTGCAGCCCTACTAATAAGATTCATACAGTTGCTAACGATCGGCTTTAATTTTTCACATAGAACATTTGACAGCAACTAATATGCGAAGTTTGAAAGACTGATCGCGTGAACTCTGACGTACTTTGCTGGACCAACTTAAAAAATCTAATGAACTATTAAAACGACTTGAAAAATGAATGTCAGTCGGGATTTTGATAAAGCTTTTTATTTTCTTTCCAATAAATATTGGATAAAATATACTTAATTTTTTTTGTTTTTGGTTTTTATGCGCCAACAACCTTCACAATTTCTTTACCATATCACTTTAAGCCGAAAATTAATTTTGAAAAGATCGGGTTTCTGTGTCTTTGAAAAAGATGTACTCTGGGTGCATATATTAATGAAGTAAAAAATGGAATGTTGACCTGAGTTTTTATAGTATTAAAAAAATATATTTCTGCGAGAATATATATATATATATATCTTAAAACATCAATTTAAGAACATTTTTATTTATTTATTTCCTCTTCAATTGCCAGGACATGTCAAATTATTTCCCTTACGAACGCGTAATACACGCAACTACTCGAGCGTAAATTATTGTCAACCGCATCGCATTAAATTGGCAACACTGCAATGCTTACAATGCTTATGATGCAGCGAAAGTGAGTGTATGAGTGCATGAGTGTGTGAATGTGTGAATGTGTAAGTGGTTGCCTCAGATAGCCGAGCGTATCCGTTGTTAAGTATGGTTGGTTCCTTGCCTGGGAGGATGCTCGTACTTCATAAAACGTTAAATTTATACATTCATCCATGTTCACTGCATCCGAGTTTTTCGGCATTTAAAACATTTGTGCTGCAAGTGAAGTGTGGCGGTGCTATTATACACAGAACAAGAGAAAAAATGTTGCTTTAACAAGATAAGCAGAGTTTACTGAAACGCATCCAGAAGGATATGCCTGCACAGTTCCAGGCGCATAGACTCGGATATATGTGCACGTACATTGACACATGAAAGCGTAGCACAAGTTACACAAAAAGATATTAAAATGAAGTGAAATTATTTATCAGAAGTGAGGGTGGACATAAAATGCAAGCCATTGGATTATTTATAAACTCACTTTGTACACGAGATTGTTATGCAAATTTTTTGCGATTTTGTCAAGAAATAATATGTACCAGTTTATTTCCTCTACCGCAGTGTATACAGAAAAATTGCTGTATGGCATGTATGTATAAAAGGAGCTTGATTTTTGAAATTCAGCAGTTTATAAAGAAAAGCTTTGAACTATTTTTTGGTGATGTAGAAGTAAAACTCAAAATGTGAAAATTTTTTTAAATAATTTTGGCTTTTTACTATAACCTAACAGTGCGTTTACACTACTGCAATTAAATCGATATAAGTGTCAAGACGAAAATGTAGTAATTAAGATAAATAAGTGCAAGTTTAAACAGGGTATTAACCTATAAGAAATTTAACTATAATAGTGTGTTTGAACATCAGCTTGTGTGGGTGTGGGTCAGTAATTTTTGACAAAACAAAGTTTAAGTGTTTAGACTTAAGTATTTAGAGTTTAGCAAATAGTCAAATAGAAGAAAACTAGGAAAATCGGGTCTATTGTGCGTTTACACTATTGCAATTAAATCGACATAAGTGTTGAGACTAAGATGTAGTGATGTAGTAATTAAATTAAGTAAGTGTAAGTGTAAGCAGGTTATTAACCTATAAGAAATTTAACTATAATAGTGTGTTTGAACATCAGCTTATCTTGTTTTTTTTTTGCCAAAACGAAGTTTAAGTGTTTAGACTTAAGTATTTAGAGTTCAGCAAATAGTCAAATAGAAGAAAAAAGAAAAAGCTATTTGCTTTTTTATACTTAGTTTGCCTTTGAATATAATTTGTCAGTATATCATACTAACTTATTTCGTTTTCAATTGGCAAATTTGAATTTATGGTAATCTAGATTCAATATCGATCTGTCAAATGTTGTTGCCCAATTAAACATTTTTGGTGTTTTCTAAAATTTTTGTAGTAGAGTTAGTAAACACTTATATTTTGCACAAATGCATATATCGAATCAAATCATACTTTATATGCCAAGTCATATAAAATAGCTGTTAATTTCAGGGTAAACTTGTTATTCTGGCAAAATATCAAGAGTATTCGAATTTCTTTTCAAATACTTCCTAACACCACTCATGATGAATACTTAGCAATACTCGAAACAGCGTTGCATGAGCAGCCAAATTTTAATAAATAAATTAATTTTTAATACATTTTGTTGTTGTCTTTTCTTTTCTATTCGAACACTTCTAAGGAAAATTATTTCTAATATGACATTTTTTAAAATTTATTTCACTTTTCTGCTTTTTTTTTGTGTTTATCAAAACAACTATTCGGCATTGCCACATAGGTGCATTTCGAGGCAAGATTTACTCAAATAATAAAATTTAAAAACGAGTACAGACTTATTTCGTAAAGCTTTGTATGAATTTTGTGTGGATTTCGTATGAAAATTTCACCTCATCTGTTTCTTTTCTGCACATTTTGTATAGAAATTTAACGTAACCATACACTTTTATGTACATTTTGTATGAAAATTCATTTTACTCTACCATCTTATCCATATAAACTCAAATATGCGTTAAGTATGATAGTCTAAACATAGTTTAATGAAGTTATAAGACTTTAAAAAATGCCAAAACCTTTAAATAATCAATAAATTTCATGCTGTTTTTATAAATTTAATGAGTTTTAACAGAATTTTAAATAAATACTCATTAAGAGTACAAAAATTAAATATCAGCGTTTAAAGAATACAACGTTTCAAATGTTAAAAATCGCACCAAATCAGAAAATGATTAATTAGGAAATTAACCTAAACAAAAACAAAAAAAACAACAACAACAACATTTGCAAACTTATAACTTTTTAGGCCAATCTCAACTTCAGATAAATTAACAAAAAAAAGGTGCAAAAAGGAGAAAACTGTGTACTTGACTGACATTTCATACCAAGTGAAATGATAAAACAAAAGCCGTAACGATAACGCGTACAAAACTGTCAAAGCAACAACAGAAAAAGAAACAAAAAGCCTAAACTCTGGCATCACTAATGAAAATAAATGGGAGTTACAAAAAGTATTACGGTCACAGAAGAGTAGCAAATTTATACTCCTTCGCCCTGATCTTAAGAGGGCAGCATTATGTGGTGGCTTTTGTCGGCAATGGCTGCAAAAAAAAAGAAAAATAAACTAAAAAATTTACCGCAAATAACGAGTATCAAAGGGTTTTTCCCTTTTTCATTAACAATTTTATACTTTTTGTTTGTGTGATTAAGTGTTGCCACTTTATATGAAAATCTAAACGAAGTCGTAACATGACATTATCAAGCCAATGTTTATGTGGCAGTGTGAATGCATGTTTGTTCACATGCCCTTCAATGCATACGGTGAACGCCCATTAGAAATTAAATGTCCATGCTGGAAACTAAATATTAGTAATTATAGTTGTGAAGAGCATACAAAATTATTTAAAATTTAATAATTATCAAAAAATTGTTTGACTCATCATTTAACTTAGATATAAATTATATAGTTTTTTGGTATTTAGAAGCCACAATGCATACTTTCAGTTATATAGGATGCACAATTATAGAAGATATATTTTTAATCTATCATCCATCACTTAACATAAACTATTTTATCTCTTAGTACTTGAAAGCCTTTATGAAGATTATCAAATATATCAGTTGCACAATTTACTGCTGGGTCAGTTACTCGGTTTGTGCCTCTGGTGGTATTAGTAAGCTAATTGCTATTTACGAGCTTGAAGTATATGTGCATTTGTGGTGATTTTACAGGGAAGGTTAGATAAATTTTAGTGAAAAGTGAAATTAACGCTCTCGACGAGCATGAAATAACGCCACGTTTGTCTCTAATAACCGCAGCATTTAGGTAAGCTAAAAGCGTAATTTATGCATAATAACCGCAACCATCAAAGTAACTCAAATTTCATAAAAGTTCAACGGACTACGGCGTTCACGCTGACAAGTGTAAATGGAGCTTGGATGTCCGTATGTGAAACTTTGAAAGGATGGTTTCATTTACAGGCGATTTTTCCGTTAATTTTCTTTTTGGAATGCATGTTTCAAGTAAAAATGCATGGGAAAAGTTTCACTGCATAAATTTCGGTGAATTTCGGTGAATTTCGTACAAACAACAAAAACTGTGGCCCTTGGCCATTTTGCACTTCACTCTAGAATATTTAACAT